TTAAAATAAAAAACCCTATTTTTCTAATTAATATCCTGTGACTCCTCCTGTTTTAACTCGGTCCATCACACAGCTACATTTTTTACATTTTCTGTCAATTTAACTTCTTTTAATACAAAAAACCTCGGGTTTAGCAAATTTTCTGGGGTAAACCCTGCAGTCAATGGACAATTTACCTGTGCAAGAAGACAACTAAGTCAGTATGTTATTACAATATCTTACCACATTTCTATACCTGACAAAAGGATGGAACTAATTTATAGTACTGTATCAAATGTTTTTGTTAATTCTGTCTGACATTGTTCCATTATTTACAGGGATTTGTTGTGGACCTTACAAGTGTTTAATTTCACAGCTTTTACATCAGGCAGTTTTGCTCTGTCTGAACCTTTGAAGTGTGTCTAAATCGAAGCTACTTCAACGCATTATTCCCTCATGTCTAAATTATGTCAATATGTAACTAATGTCAGGTTATCCAAGAGAATTAAGCCATGATAAATTAGGTCAATATATTTTAGATAATCTCTTTATTAAAAATAGTATGTTGGAAATTATTTATATACTTGTCAATGATCAAAAGAAAAACCTATATAATGTTATGGTTGTTGTAAGCTGCTTGCGCAACTTCTGCATGTTTCCACTGGTGTGACTTACCAGTCTGTGAAATTGGAGAGCCTACCTACAATCACCCTAATCCTAGGGGTGATTGTAGGTAGACTCTGGAGCCTCAAGTGACTCTTCAGACCCTCTATTAAGATTAATCAAAACTGCTAAAGAATTGTGTAAAGTTCAATAAACAGTTATAGTGTTAACAGTTTTTCCAAGGTGTTTTTATGCTATTTGTGTGGAACATTTTCACAAAGTATGACACTAAAGTATGAAAAGGAAAATAATTTGTAATAAACAAATTTTTTGGTCAATTCATATTTTTTTATGTCAGTTTCTGGTATAAAATTAAATGGTCTATTGAAGAAAATGTATTAAAGTGCTGGCATTATGTATTTTTCAGGAACTTAGTACCATTTTATAGCACAATCAAATAACTATGTTACCTTAAGTAAGCTCTATACATGTAATAAAACTTAGAAATTTGACTTTGCAGGTTGACGCCTTGAAATTGGACCTTTTTGCTCTTTCTTACATCTCACCTTCAGCAAGTCCACCTCTGACTGACTCAGCAAAAAAAGATGAAGGTTTTACACTAACCAAGTCAAAGTCTGGACTAAATCTAATTACAATGAAGTACTGTGTGACTTTTACTAGGCCATTCAAGCTCAAAAATACTCCAGTGTGGCTCAATGAAAGCAATTCTGCAAAGATCTCACTGCCAAAAGCAGAGGAGTTGTCGTCTCTTACCAGGCTGTCCTCGATCATGGTCTGTCCTGTCCTCAAATTCAAATTTTCCCGAAGTTTTCAAAACAAGAAACTTTTGGTCCTTGCTTTGGATCCACGTCGATATTGGAGGTTCATGTCTCCTGAAAGCATCTGAACAAAGCTCTGCATTTCATAGAAAACAAGTTATAACCATTGCTACTGCATCTTTACTACACAGATGTCAATAAATATGAAACAAGCCGATATATAAACTAATATATAAGCTACCTGTTTCACATGGAGCAGAACTGGTCTCTGTGCACAGGTATTGAAAAACATAATTAAAGTGCTGTTTTGTATCTAACAGCATCAAAACCAAATAGATTTACAGATTAGAAAAGTATGTAATCACCTACCTTCAAAGTAAAAAGAATTGTTAATTGTTTGGATGAACTTCAGATGGGAGTCTTCACAGGTAGCCATTAGTGGATGCCTACAGAATAAAAACATAAAACTTAAACCACAATATGTTTCCATAAGGTACCACTGAATGTGATCTGAGTCATGTCTAACAAACAAGTGCAAACAATCTGGGCATCATTGTCCTATGATTTAAAATCCTTTGAATGGTAGAAAAGGTGCCTGACAGACTAACAATCTCAAGCTATAACAAGCACTGCTCTCCCCAACCTGCTGCTCAATCTTCCCTCAGACATGTGAAAGACTAATTTGACTGTTTTGAAATGTACCCAGGTATATGACAGGGGTATAAATGGGGTGGAGACTAATGTAGCGCCATTCGTCACTCTGATCTGGATATGCCCATTAAAAGCTACAAGTGGTAGAAAAGTTCACTGCATGGTTGAATCGCTTATCCAGGGT